TAAGAAATATATTCTAGACCCACATGGTAAGGTGTAACACTAACATATATTTTGATTTGGAAGGTTACGAGTTTCAGCCTCAATGGAGGTGAAAGTATATGAACAGATATTACAATGTAATAGGGTCAGTAACATTAAAAAAAAATTATTTTTAAAATATTCATTTTTAATGTACTATAGGTTTATTTTGAATATATTAAAAATGATCATTCAATACAATAAGAAGAAATTTCAATATACTGAAAATAAATATTTATTAGTCGTCCGCAGTACAATGTGGACTATGACCTATATAGTATAATTTGCTCAAATTTCAATCACTAGACCAGACTCTATTGTAAGGCAAATTATTGTGTGGACCATGGTCCACATAGTGTTGTATGGACCTTAACAAAAAGTACATTTTTAATATACTAAATGTATATTATTTGTATACTGAATATACATTATAGAGTTAATACCATCTGAGGTCCTCCGAATATAGTGGTTTTGCTACGTTTAGTCATAAACTTTCAAATTGACCATTTGTGGTCCTTCAATTTTTAAATTTAACGATTCATGGTCCAAGTTAACCACTTATGGTCCTTCAAGTTTCAAAATTTAACCAGTCGTGGTCCTCTTTAAAGGACCATGGTTGGTTAAAATTTAATAGTTGAAGGACCATATGTGGTTAACTTGGACCACAGATTGTTAAATTTGAAAGTCGATGGACCACAGATGGTCAATTTGAAAGTTTAGGACTAAACGTGGCAAAACCACTATACTCGGAGGATCTCGGATGGTATTAACTCGTACATTATACAATATAATGTACACTCAGTACACAAATAATGTACATCTCCTAAATACAATGTACATTTTTAATATACTAAAAATGCATTATTTTCATATTGAATGTACATTATTTTGCACTATACAAAATATGGTCCACACAACTTATCATTAATGATTGCTATTATAATAGGTCACATTATAATAAAATATTAATCGATACTCAGACGCAATTTTTTTTTAAAAAATGGCTATCACTATTCATTTATTATATATGCTTGTATTGTATAAGTTATATATACTGTTACCGATTAACTTCTATATATAGCTCCACTTCTACTGATATTCCGACCTACTCTATCTAGGTATGTGACTCAAGTTGCTTGTTCTTCCATTGACCATTATTGTCTAAATTACACCCTTATATTCCATTCAAATATCCTATTAGGATTCAAAGGGTACCTATATTGTTGGGCCTTTATAGATGGATTAACACCCACCAAAAAAAAAAAAAAAAAATACAAAATTGTGCTCCACGGGACTTAACTCAATAGTTTAAGGGTCATTTTGGAAGTTTAACTTCAGCAGTGACAAGGTGAGAGTTTGATTCCCACTGAAGATATGGGGGTCATTGGTATCATTACAAGAAAATACGCGAATCGCGACGGAAATTATTCCGTCGCAATATAGCAATGGATATTGTGACGGAATAGTTTCCGTTGCAAATTAATGACGGAATTCGTAACGTAAATTAATTTCGTCGCGATTTTTGACGCAAAGAGAAAATAAAACCCGCGAAACCTTGGCAGCAAAATATTCACTACGAAATTTGTGACGGATGTAAGTTACGTCGTCTATTTAGCGACGCAAAAGGCGACGGATTTACTTTCCGTCGCGAAATAACAATGGAAATTGCGGCGGATTTTATTACGTCGCAAAAGGGATGATTTTTTTTTTATTTTTTTTTTTGTAAATGAATAAATATTTCGACGGAATTAACAACGGAATTAATTCCGTCGCAATTTGTGTTTTTTATTTTTACTTCATTCTGCCATGAATGTTTACTTATTAGCCCAATAGCCCATTAGTCTAATACAAAACAAAAAATTGAAAAACACATAAATTAGCGGATAACATCGCCTAAGTCCTAACCCTAAAATCCACTTTATTTAGATCTGCTCGACTCTTCTCTTCTCGCAATCTTGCCTTCTTCACTTCTCCAATCTGGCAATATCTACTCCACAGGTTATAGTTGGACGATTATTGTTGGACGACTTCGCCTCGATTCTCTGCGCCTTCTTCGCTTCTCCAATCGTCTGAGAAGTGGGCAAGCTGAGAAAGAAACTCTGAATGAAGACGGTTTCAATAACCTTCAACTTTTTGCAAACAACTTGAGCTCAGGTAAGTATGAAGCTACTGTTCTTGTACCTTTTTGTGGAAATGCCCCTAAGGGGAATGCTAATGCGAATGTTGAAGGAATAGTTGGAGAGGATGAGAATCGAGGGGTTCCATCTCGGTCTGATAAGGATGCCTCTCTAGTAACAGTACGTGTTTGTGAAAATGTAACATCCTCAATTTTCAGCATAATTTATAACCATTAAAGCTTACGAAATAAGAGTAAGTCTATCATTAATACCCAAATAAACAGAAACCAAACACAATAGTGTGGGGGTGCTATGCCACATCTAAGCTTGAGAACCTAGATGCACATGCTACTAACTATTTAATCCATAAGCATCAACCAAATACAAGATGGCTCACAAGTCGTTAAACTAAGACTAATCACTAACTATACTAGGAACCGCAGCTCCGTTTAGCGCGCTCACGAGCCAACTAATCTGTACCTGAAAAACATACGGTGTAGCAACCGTTAGCGAATAATGCTAAGTAACACACTCCCGCGCATTGAGTATATATATATATATATATATATATATATATATATATATATATATATATATATATATATATATATATATATATATATATATATATGAAAACCATTTTGAGACTTGGGAATACATAGATATAGTCCTAAACAACTCTAGCTTTAGAACCAGGATAATGACTCCTTTGAAACCCCGCACACAACAATATAATCAGACTCAAGACATAACAGTAATATTGACACCACAAGACCATAATAAGACACGAGCATGCAAATCATGACTATAAAACAAGACAACGATAAGGGACACACAACAGACTCTAACCACAAGGCAATGCAACAATAACAGACAACAATAAGACCACATAAGACACGCCAATGTTCCAACCTTATACCAAGTTCCAACCTTTACTCATCTCTATCCTTATAACAGTTCCAACATGTACCTCCAGACCACGATGTACACCATCACCCTTACCCTCCGGAGCACCGCCTGCTCCCCTCCAACATGACCTCTAACATACCACCGATCTCTTAGCACACGTAGTGCCATTACATAACAGGATTGTGCCGTAGTACGATAATCAAGCACTCGTAGTGCACATAACATAATAGGATCGCACCGCGACACAATAATCAAAGCTCACTCAGAGCACATAACATAAACACGCCCAGTGCATCAAACCTCTAACATATCTTTTCCACCAATCTCATATCTTTTCATCACCATGAGCAATAACACCACAATCAAGACTCAACGACAACCTCATCAAGGGGTAACAAGGGAAAGGGAAAACAACATGCAAAGGGACTTACAACGACATGAGACATCAATCTAAGCATACGACCTACGGGGAATAACATAAACCATACTTTGGACCCACACAATACAAGTTTAGACCTCATGCATAAACACGACTCACAAATCCCATTTACGGTACTTAAGACATCATACTAAACTCACAAACATCAAACGAGACACAACAAGGCACGGGGAAACGATCAACAATGACCAATAAAGCACCCCACCGCCCGTACCAACGGGCGGTACGGCGGGAGGACAACCTCACGCCGGGCTGCCCGCTAGCGGGCTACCATGTTCCAGCGGGGGTTCCGGCGGGTGGTCATCAACTCGCTCGAATGGTGGCCTAATCCCGGCGAGTGATCGAGTGGGGGTTCGTCCCCTCACCGACTACCCGCTGGAACATTCCTCCAAGTAATTCTCCCCACCTCGGGGGTTCACCAATTACGCGCAAATTCAATTCCTAACCCACCCAAAACACACATCAACAGTAATATGGACTTGAATACATATAACGACTCGACGAACAACATTATTGGACTCAATCACAAGCTCTAAACCTTGAGTAACACCCGAACATGCATATACCCACCCAAGAATGTCAAGAATATCAAGAACAACAAGATTCACAATATAAACCCTAACAACAAGCTCTAAATACGTATAAACACAATAATATGCAAACACAGGAACGGTAGCAAAAGGGGAAGATTAGAACGAAAGGTTTAGATTTTTAAACTCGCAGACCACATTTGTTAAGAAAAGGATCGGGGTTAACAACGATGCAACTTAGGAAGTCCAGGTTGTCACCTTGCACGGAATTAGTTTAAGAAGAAAGCAAGAACAAAGTTTGGAAAAAGAACAAGGATTTCTTGGCAAAAAGGATGTTTGGTTTGTCTATAAGGAGGGAGGAAAAACAGATTAAAAAGAGTTAAAGGTTCCCGACTTCAGGCGATTCCTTCTGCTGGACTAACTGATTACAAAACCTTGACCAACTGTCAGATCTCTTCGTCGATTCTGGCATGACTTCAAACGAAGATCTTTATCGGTCTTCTTACATGTGCTAATACCACCACCATCTTTACTACTTCCGGGGAGAACTCTCACGACGAAGCACAACCGTACCTTTGCATCATAAACCAAGTCTTCTGTGCAACTTAGATAACTGAACCAAACTGATAAGCTACTTTTCCTAAACAATCCACATCATTGCCTGATTCTGTCAACAGAGACAATCCATAAATCCCTTTTCCAAACTTTTCCAAATCTCTTATGATCCAAGAAACCTCGCGCAAAAACCAAGGTCGAAGTTAACTCTTATTCCAGCTGAAACCCGAAGCTAAAGTCTTAACACTTAACACGAAAACTATCACACAAGGATAACATCAAAACTAAAGAAGGGCACAACCAGAAATGGTACAAGTACTTACTTGATTGGTTCTGACTTGCATCTATTTCACGACTGTAGATCTAGCCTTGCTGGGGTCTCGGCTTCGCACACAGGTCCTGGATGCTTCATCCTTTTGCCCCACCGTTGCCTCAAATTCGAAACTTATTTCCCGGCTGGGATCTCACACTACCAGTTGGATTTGACTTTGATGATGTCTTCTCCTTAACCATGCACTCAAAGGACCGATGACCCTTCTTGCCACAAGCAAAGCACACTGCCGGCTTCCTATGGCAATCCAAGCCGGGGTGGTCACTTCCACACTTCTTGCAAACGTAGTGCCTTCCCTTAGTCTTGTTGCTTCGGGTGGGTTGGGGAGTCTTACCACCATTAAGGTCATTTCTTTGGAAACTCCTTGCTGATTCAGTACCGGTAACGATCAAACTCCTAACCACAGGTGCATCACTTCTTTCAAAACTCATTTTTCGGTTATCCCGGATTCCTTTCTGAACTTGCTGCACACGATAGAGGTTGGCTGCACAGAGATAGGCCTTGTTGAGAATCTTAGGCTTCGACACAGTCAAGGCTTTCCTAGCCTCAGAGTTGAGTCTGGCAGAGTCTGGCAACAAACTTCTCAACTTTACTCATCTCGGTAAGTACTAAAATCGTGGCGAAACGGGCTAACTCCAAAAACTTCTTATGGTATTCCATAACTGACAATTGTACTTGTCTAAGGTGGAGGAACTCCTTGTACTTCGCCGCCTTGATATGAGCGGGGTAGAACCGCTCACGTAACTTATCCTTCAAGTCTTAACAATTGAACTCCGGATCTTGTCTACAAGCAGGCCTTTCGTGTATCTACCACAAGTCGGCCTCTTCTCTAAGGTAGAATGTAGCCAACTCCACCTTGGCGATCCTCCGAGCAATCCACTACCTTGAAGATCTTGTCGAACGTTCGGATCCACTCTTTTAACACTGTAGGATCCTCTTCCCCGGCGAAGACTAGGGGACAGTGACCCGACACTTGGTGTGCTACGTCCCGGTTCCCATACTGTTGGTGATTGTTGTTGAGGAGGGCGTTGCTCAGCGTTTGAGTAACCCGAGTCAGCTGATGCAGGTTTCAAGCTAGCTGTTCGTTGGTAGGCGTTTCTGAAGTCCTTGCACGACGTCTCGGTGGTGCCATCTTGAGTTCTACAGAAGCAGCACGGTTACGGAAGGAAACTTAGAAGCTCGCACCCTTACCCGATGCCTAAACTTAAAAGAACCTAAGCTAAAAGAAGAACAAAACACAGGAAACACAACCGAAAGCGATAAGAAAACTCACAACCTCACCGCGCGTTCTAAGGTTCCTAAGACTTAGGTACTTAAACACTTAGGATTCAAGCTTAACACCTTAAAGTCTTACTCTTAAAAGCACTAACCTAGGCTCTGATACCAATTGTAACACCCCCGATTTTACGTACTAAACAAAGGCAATTAAAGCTTAGGAACAAACATTTAAACTAAACATTAGGTATTAAAAGTCGCGGAAGCTAACTAGTTAACCGGAGAATGATATGCCACATCTAGATATCTAATCTAAATGCACATGCTTACAAAAACTATTAACTAGAAGTCTACAAGTTCCAGGGCACACAAGCCAAACTACTTCTAGCTATAAGAAGTACAAAAACTATTAACTAGAAGTTTACAAGTTCCAGGGCACACAGGCCAAACTACTTCTAGCTATAAGAAGGAAGCTAGTCTACCGGGCTTCACTATCGCGCTCTCGGTTCAACTACTTTGCACCTGAAAAACATAAGGGGTAGCACCCGTTAGCGAATAATGCTAAGTAACCCACCACTACGCGTTGAGTACAATATAGTATAGATATAAGAAAATCATTTGAAACTTGGGAATACATAAGTATAGCCTTAGTAACACTAGCTTTAAAACGAGAGATAGACATATCATTTGACTTATCAAGAGATTCACTCAATAGTACCGACCAACAACGGTTAAACAATAGAATCATTACGAGGAAACCAAGATAAGAATACCAAGATAATCAACGAAGTACGATAATCAAACATCAATCAGAGAATCACATTTAGATATGCTCATAAGCAAAGAATTACAAGAATCATCATCAATCCATTCCCGACAAAGTTCCAAGTCCACGCAGGGCATATCCAACCAAGTCATTCACCGTGGAGTCATCGCAATGACCCGAATCATAGTGGATCAGTGTGGAGGGCTCCAAATCATCAATCACATACCATAGAGTCATCGCAATGGCTCGGACCGCAGCCCATTGGAAACAGATCCAGCAACTTTAAGTGTATACACCCCCTATTGGGATTCCAAGCCCAACGGGTTAGTTACCTTCCCTAGCAACTGGAATAAGTTTCCCAAGTTGCCCACAAATCAATAATCCAAACGGCAACCTGGAGCTTTAAACTAGGGTTGTGCGTCGGACGGGTTCGGACGGATCGGGGTGTCGGATGGTCACTCCGATCAAATTTCGGTTTTTAAAAGTGACATCCTATCCGTTCAATTCTGTCGGAATATCCGTCGGATAATTGTCTGAACTAGTCCGACGGATATCCGATGTATCCGTCGGACTAGTTCGGTTTTTCAAAAAAAAAAACTTCAAAAATTAAAAATTTACTTAAAAAAAAACAATTTTATACATGTTTCACAGTTTCATTGAACACTTAAGTACTTTAACAAGCTAACTAGTAACTAGTAACTACTTAACAGCAAAAAATAACTTAAGTAAACTTAGAAAACATTAAACATATAATCAAATTAACAAACTTACAAGATAGAACTCAAAGTTCAAAACATACGAATTTACAGATTAAGTTACAAATTTAAAACTTTGAGTTAGAACTTCAATTCTTCAAAGGCAAAAACTTTGAGCATGTCAGCATTAGCATTTAGCAATCAGCATCATTCTCCAATCTCCAAGCAGCAGCAATCAACATTCAGCAATTCAGCCATCAGCCATGAGCCATGGATCAAAAGAAAACCAGAAATCCAAATACCAAAACTCCAAAAGTCCAAATACCTAATATACAACTAACATATGAATATATGATTATATAATATTGAGCAGTCTATTCTTCTTACTGATAAGTGATAACATAAAAACATAATAAGTTCAAAACATTTCATAATTTACTGCATTGTGCCATTGAATATTGGAACAATTGATTGAGTTAAAGGATTATAGACTAAACTACTAAAAAGTGCTCAGATAGCTTTTTTTCCATATCAAGTTAGGATTGGGGGCACATTACTCAATGACTATGGCATAAACATCACACTTCATAGGCAACATACCAAACCCAATTCTATATATTCAGAGAACATGGTGGAAGCATCATCATTGCACAATAATACTTATACAGTTATATAGATACCTACTCAGAAGTTAGAACTAAGAACAAATCACAGTGAATACTTATACTGATACCTGAGCTCAATGGCAGCGACATTTAAAATGTTACCTAGCCATGAGCACTTTCCAGTTTTTCAGTTCTCAGCCTCACGAGGGACATTGATTTGAATCATTGATACACATACATGATACACTGATACAGAGTCATAAATTTATCATGAAATCAAATAAGTAAATAAGTAATCACAAATTTAGAATTAGAAATCATAAAAGCAAAAAAAATATGTAAACATACAAGAATTGTAGGCAGTGAAGATCCACTGGAGTTGGGACTCACATATCATTGAAGAATGGCAAAATTGGGACTCACAACGACATGAGACATCAATCTAAGCATACGACCTACAGGGAATAACATAAACCATACTTTGGACCCACACAATATATGTTTAGACCTCATGCATAAACACGACTCACAAATCCCATTTACGGTACTTAAGACATCATACTAGACTCACAAACATCAAACGAGACACAACAGGGCATGGGGAAACGATCAACGAGGACCAACAAAACACTCCACCGCCCGTACCAGCGGGCGGTACGGCGGGAAGACAACCTCCCGCCGTTCCAGCGGGGGTCCCCCACCGACTACCCGCTGGAACAATCGTAACCCAAAACACACCAATTATGCCCAAATTCAAGTCCAAACCCACCCAAAACACACATCAACAGTAATATGGACTTGAATACATATAACGACTCAACGAACAACATTATTGGACTCAATCACAAGCTCTAAATCTTGAGGAACACCCGAACATGCATATACCCACCCAAGAATGCCAAGAATATCAAGAACAACAGGATTCATAATATAAACCCTAAACACAAGCTCTAAATACGCATAAACACAAGAATATGCAAACAACCACACAAGATCATCAAGAACATCAAGAATAACAAGAATCCATATCATAAATCCTAGGGACAAGCTCTATCAAGGCATAATTACAAGATTACACATACAATCATTCAAAGGAGCCAATAAATAAAAGATAGCAAGGAAAATAGGTTTTGTAAGACATGGGTTACCTTTTTAGCTTAATCTAACTTCTCACAATTCCTAAGGTAAAGTTCCTCAATGTCCTCTTCCTATTGGTCTTTCCTATGTTTGGTGACGGGGAATTCTTTGTCTGAGTTTTGGGAGGGGATTTTCGAGTGGTAGAGAGGAATGGGAGAAAGAGGGTTCTAAAGGCTTTCTAATTCCCTTTATATAGGTTCAGGATTCCCAATTAGAATCTGATTAATAATGGGCCCTCGTTCTTTATTTCTAACAGGCTTAAGACTTTAATATAAATTAGGGTCCATGGTCCATCGTGGACCATACCAATTAATTAAGGGGTCCCGGGCCGAATTAAATCCTTTTTAACTACTCCAAACGGAATTAATTAAATAATTAATTTGGATTTAACTACTCCATCGCGATTCGCGATTTTTCTTGTAGTGTATTAGCCTATTAGGACTCTACTATTAGTCTCCTTGTTGGTCTCTGATCTACTTCATGTATTTATCTCTGTTTTTAATTATGTACTGTACGTATATTTCATACGATTATCTTTGAGTATCATACAGTATACAAAACACTTCCATTCACTGTGTCCATCTAGTATCAGTTATCGAAGGTGTCTTACTCCTAGCTATGGTGTCTAATCTTTCTCCTGCTAGCAACATCGTTGAGGTTTCTTCGGAGGTACAATCACGACGGCTCTCCCCAATTCTCTGGCGCTTGCACCCAATTGTCTTTCGTCGGCTCACCACTTCCTCTCGATCAAACTCACCCCGCAATTACCTATTTTGGCGTACATAACTTGTCCATTTTCTTCGTGGACGGAATCTTCTTGGCTACGTCGACGGTTCGGTGTCATGTCCTCCGACTACTATCACTGCGTCTGATGGACTTACGGTAGAGAACCCTACCTACCTAACACAGATTCAACAGGATTAGTCGATCCATTCAATGATCGTTTCATCTCTTTTGGAGGAAGTTCTGTATCTTGTAGTCGAACGGGCTACCTCGCATTTAGTCTGGGAGGCGGTAGGGGTGTTTTTGGCTACTCCACGCATGCACGCTCGCTTGGTCTCCTTGGGCAGTTGCAGATGTTGCAACAGGGAGACAACTCGGTTGTGGAGTACCTAGGGCGTGCCTAGGTTCTGGTGAAACAACTTGCTTTGGCCGGACGTCCAGTATCTTTGGACGAGCAGAATCTCTTTGTTTTCTCGGACTTCTACCAGAGTTTCGTCCGATGGCTTCATAGCTCGTCACTTATGGTTCGCCAGTCACTCTAGCTCAACTCTCTGACTTCCTTTTGGCCCAAAAATTTATTTGTGTTCACCATTTTCTCCCACCAATGGAGGTTTCGGCTGGAGGCTCTTTGCCGGCTACAATGGTGGTTTGTCGTAGTAGCTGGCAGACTGGTGAAGGAGGTTGTTGGTGTGGATGGGGATGTCATGGTGGCCATTTTAGATGCAGTCGGCGTGGTCAGGCAGGGATTCCTCGTTGCCAAATCTGCCAGAGTCATAGGCACACTACTGTGAGTTGTGTCCAGCGTTACTCGGAAAATCCAGCACCCTAGGCGAATTACGTAGCTGCTGTGTTCATGATGAGTTAGCAACTGCTTCTAGAGGTTTCTCGTGGTTTCCAAACATAGGAACCACACATGACGCCACACCTGTTGTTGGTGTGTTAGTGGAGTCGGAGGAATATCATGGTGTTGATACTTTGCGGGTTGGCATTGGTACAGGTTTGGTTATTTCCCATGTTGGTCGTACTTTGATTTCCATACCTTCTCATTCACTTAAAATTTTTGATGTTTTATATGTTCCTAGTCTGTCTAATTCGTTGTTGTTAGTACAACGCTTTGCGTCTTACAACAATGTTGTTTTTGAATTTCATCCCTAGTTTTTTGTTGTGAAGGACCTCACAACCAAAGAAATTATGCTCCGGGATCCTTGTTCGAGTGGTCTTTATACGTTGCCAGTTTTTGGGTCGTGTCCTGGTGTATTTCTGCCTGCTCTGACTTCTTATGCTGTCTAGTACAACCGTCTAGGGCACCCACATTATCATCTTTTAAGTCGAGTCCTACCGGCTTGTCCAGTTTGCAAATTAGACATTAGTTCCTCTTTTATGTGTTCTGTTTGTCAATTAGGGAAATCATCTAGGTTCCCATTGTCTCGTGTTGAGTCGTCCAGTTCAAATGTACTTAATCTTATCTATACAGATATTTGGTCCTTGCGCCTATTTTGTCTTCTACTGGTTTTCATTATTTTGTGCTTTTTGTTGATGATTATTCTCGTTATTGTTGGTTGTTTCCTTTACATTTAAAGTCTGATCTCTATAAAGTGTTTGATCAATTTTGGGCAATGGTTGAACATTTACTTTTATGCTATATCAAGGCGATACAATATGATCTAGGGGGTGAGTGTCACAAATTACATTATGTGCTTTCTACCCTCAGTATTGTCCATCGCCAGTTTTGTGCTTATACACACAAGCAAAATGGCCGTCTGGAAAGCAGACATCGGCACATAGTTGAGACTGGTCTTGCGTTGATGGCTCAAAGCTGATGCATGAGCAGTTTAAACACGTGCTGCATTTTTGGTGGATGAGTCGTTCATCATATTTCCACAACTTGTGTTGACACCCCAAGTTTTAAGGGTGGTAAAGCTTTAGGAACCTTCCATTGATTGGACCGATCTTCAAACCATCTTCACTAATCAGCTTGTAAGCCCCACTGGTGTAAACTTCTAGAATCACGTAGGGACCATCCCACCTTGAAGTGAACTTGTGGCCTGTTTTTCTCGTGACAATGATGGGCCTGCGAACAGCTAGGACCTTGTCCCCAATTTGAAAGGAACGGGTCCTTACCCTTTTGTTAAAAGCTCTAGACATACGAGCTTGATAGCACTCCAAGCTTTCTTGCGCTTGCAGACGTTTTTCATCCAAGGCTTCTAACTCAGCCAAGCGTAGCTTAGCATTCTCTTCGTCAGTAAGACCCTCCTGTATAGCCAACCTTAAGGAAGGTATTTGGCGCTCTAGAGGCAAGACCGCTTCCACACCATACACCAAAGAATATGGAGTGCTTTGAGTAGGTGTGCGATATGTGGTTCTATACGCCCACAAAGCTTCTTCCATTCTGTCATGCCAGTCCCTTTTCGATTTTGAGACCACTTTCTTCAACAAATTGCATAGGGTTTTGTTAAAAGCTTCAGCAAGCCCATTTGCAGCTGCATAGTAAGCTGATGAGTTTCGCTGCTTAAAGTCAAAAAGCTTGCAGATCTTGTCCATCAACTTGTTGTCAAATGGCTTCCCGTTATCTGTTAAGATATATCGCGGGATACCAAATCGATAGACGATGTGGACACGGAGAAAGTCTGCAACATTTTCTTTCTTCACCTCCTTCAATGCCACGGCTTCCGCCCACTTTGAAAAGTAATCGGTGGCAGCTAATATGTAGGCATGCCCTGCAGATGACTTAGGCGTAATTGGGCCAACCACATCAAGTCCCCAAGCATCAAATGGCCAAGATGCAACTGTTGGGTGTAGAGGTTCTGGTGGCTGATGAATAAAGTTTGCATGATATTGACAAGCTTGGCACCTTCGAGCATAGTCTATGCAATCCTTTACCATTGTAGGCCAATAATATCCCATTCGCTTAATGTGGAAATGCAACTTGGGACCGGATTGATGTGCACCGCAAACCCCAGAATGAGCTTCTTGCATAGCTTGTAAAGCTTCCTCTTCCCCTAGACATCGGAGAAATATTCCATCAAAGGAACGACGATACAATGTTTCTTTATAGTAGATGAAGCGAGGAGTTCGACGTTTTATATCCACCCTTTTACGGGGATCTTCAGGTAACTTTCCATCAGTGAGGTAGTCAATTAATGGTTGCCTCCAGTCGTCTTTGCCTATATCATACACTGAGGCAGTAGGGAGTTCAACAGTTTCATCAACTGAGCCGTCTTCATTAAAGATTGGTGGAACCACCCACCTTTGACATACTTGTATTCGGGCTGCAGGATGAGCAATAGTTGAAGCCAATGCGGCTAAGGCGTCAGCTTGCTTGTTTTCTTTCCTCGGTACATGTTCAATTGTGACGTCCCCTAACCATTGCATGAGTATCTTTGCATAGTTGTTATATGGGACTAACTCCGCCTTTTTCACTTCATATAGACCCAACACTTGGTTTATGATCAACTTTGAATCTCCATAAATGTTAATTCTCAGTTGCTTCATGTCAGCCGCTATCTCGAGCCCAAGTATCAATGCTTGATACTCAGCAACGTTGTTTGAACATTGCTCGGTCAAGGTGAATGAATATGGCAACACCTCGCCTTCTGGAGTGACGAAGACAACTCCAGCACCTGCCCCTTCTCTATGTGAAGCTCCATCAAAGTACATTTTCCATGGGGGTAGGACTTCAATGACAAGCACATCTTCATCAGGCAAATCGTCAGACAACTCCCATTCAGCAGGTATTGGATGGTCTGCTAAGAAATCGGCTAAGGCTTGCCCCTTGACAGACTTCTGCGGCACATAGATGATTTCAAATTGTTGGAACAATAAGTACCACCTTGCAAGGCGGTCAGAGAGCACGACCTTCGCCATAACATACTTCACCGGGTTCGCTTTGGAAACAAGCCGGATTGTATGAGCCTCGAAGTAGTGCTTAAGTTTTTTGATGGCGAACACAAGTGCCAAACATAGCTTTTCAATTGGGGAGTACTTTAACTCGTTCAGGGTCATCATTCTACTAAGATAGTAGAGAGCATTCTCCTTCCCCTTGTCGTTTTCCTGAGCAAGCAAGGCGCCTACAGAACAATCCTGGGCGGAGATATAAAGGATCAGCGGGCGACCGTGAACAGGAGCAGTTAACACAGGCGGCTTCATCAAGTATGACTTGATACTCTCAAATGCGTTCTTGCATGCCTCATCCCATATGAATGGGATGCCTTTTTTCATCAATCGACTAAAAGGTTGACATCTTCCCGCTAGGTTTGATATGAACCTTCGGATGTAAGCCAACTTCCCTTGTAAGCTTTTAAGCCCATGAAGGTTTCTCGGCTCAGGCATCTTCATTATGGCATCAATTTTTGCTTGCTTGATCTCGATGCCCCTGTGTCGAACAGTAAACCCGAGGAACTTTCCAGCAGCAACCCCGAAAGCACATTTCAGGGGGTTCATTTTCAGTTGAAACTTTCGTAGGCGGTCGAAGACTTGCCTTAAATGCACCAAGTGATTTGTGCGCAATTTCGACTTCACAACCAAGTCGTCTACGTAGCATTCGACCATTTTATGGAGCATATCATCAAATATTGTCTGCATAGCCCTTTGGTATGTAGCACCTGCATTTTTCAAACCAAAGGGCATTACTTTATAGCAGTAGATGCCTTTTGGCGTTCGGAATGCAGTTAAGTCTTCATCTTCCGGCGCCATGCGGATTTGATTGTAACCGGAGGAGCCATCCATGAATGACAGGATCTCATGCCCAGTCACGGCATCTATCATTAACTCCGTGATAGGAAGCGGGAAGTCATCTTTTGGGCATGCCACATTGAGGTCCCGAAAATCTACGCAGACGCGGATCTGGCCGTTCTTCTTGCGCACAGGCACAATACTGGATATCCAGGTTGGATATTTAACTTCACGAATGAAGCCAGCCTCAATAAGCTTATTAACTTCTGTTTCAATCGAGGGAATGAGCTCGGGGCGGAAGCGTCGTTGAGCTTGCTTAACCGGGCGACACCCCTTCTTCACTGCTAAGCGGTGCACAGCTACCTTTGGGTCTAACCCTGGCATCTCCTTGTATGTCCATGCAAAGACATCAATATATTCTTTCAGCAATGTGACATAGATTTCTTCATCTTCATCAGAAAGGAGTGCGCTAATGAAGATAGGACGAGGATTTTCAGGAGTTCCCATATCAACTTCTTTTAATTCATCCACTGCAGCTCGTACCCCTTCTTCTAACTCATGGGGTGCCTCTTCCGCATCTTCTCCCTCAATCGGGGTCTCATCACACAAAGTGATATGGAACGACGATGCCACCTCTCCCTGAGTGGTTGGTGGTACGTCATCACTTGAGCCTACGCTTTCCTCATTTTCCTCTTTATGTACTCGAGTGTGTACAATGGTCTTCGGTTGGACTTTCAATACTTCACCGCATGTAACATGAATATATGTTTCTCGTCTCATACGAGAAGGAATCATGCTTCTGAGCCTTTTTGGAGGTTCCACTTCAGCAGGAACATTAGCACTGTCTCTAATAACTTGGACAGCTCCAAGTCGATCATGTATCGACTTTCTCTTTAGGGCTTTAGTACTTGACCCCAGCCTATCAAAGACTGAACGTCGAGAGTCTGCCTTACCAATTCGGTCGAAGACTGACTTCTTTTTGTCTTGCCCATTACCATTGGTAGGAGTGAGTTTTGGGTCATACTCGCTTCCCTCCGCGGAGATACAGTTACTTGTTGCCCTGTTTATAAGAATTCGCACTGGTTTAGGGGGAACATAGCCCAACCCTTTGCGCGTTTGAGGTTTTTGGTGATTTGCTTTGCCTTTACCACCGGCTTCTGGGATAAGCTTTCCCAACTTCTGTGGCTCGTTGGGGTTATAGCCAGCCTTGGCTAGAAGCTTATAAGCGTTAGGGTCGAAACCCTCGGTACGCTTGGCGGGGAATGTTTGGCCCACTTTATCACCACCTTTATCTTCAGATAATTTTGCTGCATTTGCTTTGAGTGTATCAATCCTTGCAAGCGGGAAGATGAGTTTCGTGTTATGCTGATCTCCCCTACAACTTGTTTTCCCTTTGACTTTGATTGGGAAGGTGGATCGTCATGGCTTTCCTCAATATCTTCAACAATAACTTGCCTTTTAATGTAGAACTTTGCGTCTGCAAAATAAGACTCAGCCTCTGTGAAAGGGCTTTCATCGGCGACAACCTTTTCAACTACGCCGTTCTTTTCAAACATGAGGCATTGATGCCAAGACGAGGGTACCACCCCATTTTCGTGCATCCATGGCCTTCCAAGTAACAAGTTATAAGATGTCCTTGCATCTATGACATGGCAGAGGACACCTGAACTCATACTTCCAATTCTCAAGTCAAGTCTGATGATGCCGATTGCTCTTTGCCCTCCCTGATTGAAGCCTTGTATCATTAGACGACTTTGGGCAAGCTCATCTGTAGATATACCAAGGTCCTTCACAGCTCGGAGGGATAGGATGTTGACAGCTGAGCCTTGATCAACCATAATTCTTTTAAGCCTTTGCCCACGGGTATAGCCTTCAACAAACAATGGACGATTGTGTGGCGTGCCTCCAAGTAACAAGTCTTCATCCTTGAAGGTAATTTCTGTGGAATAGGAAGTAGCCTTATGCATTAGCACTTCCTCATCCTCGATATGTTTAGGAGATGAACATTCACCTCCATCTTCTGGCTTGTCATTTGTATTTAAGCAAGAGCTAGAAGTGCCTGTCCCTTGAAGATCAAATACCTTTGGCATATATTGAGCCAAAGGAACTGGTGCACGTGGCTGTTTGACATGGCCCTTCGTCTTTGATTTGCGGGCATGGGTACTTTTTGAGGTTTTCTCAACCCAACTTTTCACTATGTGTTTTTTATGCTTCACAGGCTCGAATTTCTTCTTTCTATGAGTGACAATCACCCATTTACCTTCGGATGCGTTATCATTCCACTGCGGTTCTGAACTTTGACCGACAGCGTGCTTAACAATGAAGGGGAGTGGACGCTTCCGTTGTTTCCCATCTTCCTTTTCAGTACACAACAGAGCGAACCGTCCGGGTGTAATCGAGATTTGATTTGAGCTCGCGTTAGCATCGGCAAGCTCGATTTTTCCATCTCTGGCCAGTGCCATTACTTTATCTTTGAAGATAAAACACTTCTCAATCGGATGACCAAGAAGACGATGATACTTGCAATAGTTTGGATCATCCACCCTTGAAGCTTCCTCGGGACGTTTCATTTCAGGCAACTCAATGAGCCTAAGTTTAAGTAGCTCATCAAACATGGGAGATACATCGGAATCCATGAAAGGATAAGTCTTCTCCTGCCTTTCTTCAATTGTCGGCCTTCTACCACCCCTTGACGGGCCAGAAAATGATCTTGACCTAGGCCTTTCAGTTGCCTTAGTGAAGACTGTCATGGGAGTAGCCTTCACATTCATCACTTCTTTCTTCTCCTGCTTTGGAAAAGGTTTGTTCCACTTTTTAACTTCTTGTTTTCCAGGTGCATTGGAGGAGCTAGGCAAGTTCAATATGTTGAGCCCTCCGCTGGCTTCGATGCTCAATTCCATGTCGTGAGCACGACTGGATAACTCCTCAAAGGACTTTGGCTTAATCCCTTGTAGGATATAGGAGAGTTCAAAGTGCATTCCTTGGATGCACATCTCAATTGCAGAACTTTGGGATATTCTTTCTTTGCAATTCAGGCATAGTTCCCTCCACCTTTCGATGTAGGTACCGGCGCGTTCACCCTTCCATTGGCGAGTAGTGGTGAGTTCCAAGAAGCTGACCGTTCTCCTTGTGCTATAGAAATGAGTTAAGAACTCACGTTCCATATCATGCCAGCTATCAATGCAGCCGGGCGCAAGGTCAGTGTACCAATCAAACGCAGTTCCCTTTAATGAACGGACGAACTGCTTTACCAACAGATCGCCATAAGTCCCTGCATCATTGCATGTCTCCACAAAGTGGGCAATGTGCTGTCGGGGATTTCCCTTGCCATCGAATTGCTGGAACTTAGGAGGTTGATAGCCGTAGGGCATTTTCAACTCCTCAATTCTTTGTGTGTAGGGCTTAGCATAGGAATATGAAGGTTGGCCTCCATCCAACTTGCCTTTGATGGCCCCCATTATGTAGTCCTTCAACTGATCCACCGGTATCATGCCTTCGGTAACTGGAATAGTTTTCTCAGTTGCAGGTAAATGGGAAGCAGCTTCTCCTACCACATGGCTAACATGAGGTGGTGGTGATTGCTGACCAACCTCTTCTTGCCCTTTAGGTTGCTTTCCTGGAGCACGGCTTCCTTGCTCCTCCATGATGCTTCCTACCCTATTATCGAGGGTGTTAAGCCGTTTCTCTTGATTTTGGAGAGTGACAACCATTCCTTCCAGAGACTTAGCAATTCTAGCTAATTGCTCCTCCACAGACTCCGTGTTTGTCGCCATGGCCGGCATGACGTTGTAGACATGCGACCACTCAGGTTCAGCCTTCCATAATGGATGTGGAGGAGTTACGGGGGAAGTGCTCCCGCTACTAGCGTTCCCTTGCATAGAAGTTGGACTACCACCATCGGTAGCTCCCTTGGGAGAGGGTGGACTTCCAGCAAAAGCAATTGCCTTTGAGGCAGCAGGGGCCTTGTCGAGCCTTCGAACCACACGTTGTGCCATGGACTGAGGTTCAGGCACTTGGACCCCCAAATCCTTTGCGCGGTTCCTTGTCAGCGGACCTTGCGTTTTCTGGGTAGTGCCAGAGCTAGCTACAGGCGTAGACTTGGACTTGGTAGCTTGGGCATAGGTCCTCCTGAACATGGGATTGTTCGATGCCATTTGATGCGCAGGTAAAGGTATAGTAGTAGTAGAGAGATGAGAGGCAGAGCTGTCCCACTGGGCGTGCCAAAATATGTAAACGCGAAAAACTTGAATTGTATATATTCAATATTCAAAGTATCGGTTACAAGTAGTATCAAGTATATATCAAACGGGAAGGGGTACAATCTCTGTATAGGAGAAGTCCTCTGATTCTCTACTAGAAGTATGCCTATTAGAACTGTGCCGAATTCGGAATATGCCAAATTGGAAGTGTGCCGAGTTCAGAGTATGCTGAACTTGAAGTATGCCGAGTTCGGGAGTATGGCCAAACTGGAAGTATGCCGAATTCCTTGTTGAAAGTGTGTTGAGTTCAGAGTATGTTGAACTGGAAGTATGTCAAGTTCGGGAGTATGGCCGAACTGGAAGTATGCCGAGTTCGGGAGTATGCAGAACTGGAGTAGTTCCTTGCTGAAGGGCCTCCGGAGTTGGTAGCTTGTTCCTCAATGAAGGGCTAATATGCAGCTTGATCTTCAAAGAAGGGCTTCCGGTATTCAAGTGGCGTGTTCCTCAGCGCGGTATACGCAGTACAACTGCGGGCGTGTTCCAGACGATATCCTGGCGAGACTTCGGCAGAGCTTCAGTATGCAGATTTCCAGAGCTCCCATTCTTGAAAATGAAACCACTATTTATAGTGGTGAGGGTGAGAGAAAATCTCCAACCAACTCTTAATTCCTTATTTAATTTAATTATTTTAATTAAATTAAGGAATGTATCGGGACACCATTGCGTCCAGGTTCATGATTTCATTAAATTTCCAAATAATATCAAATATTCAAATTGCTCAAAGTTATATAATCCACATATAATTTTAGTGGGCCAAGACCAATTCAAACCCGCTAATTAGGAAACCCAATTCATCCAAGCAGCCTGGTCCGACTCAATTAAGATTTCACCAACTTGGGCCGAACAATCCAATCATTCAATTACACTTAATTAAGTAATTAAACTAATTAATTATTTAATGGGCCATTTAATTAACCCAATTAAATAAATATTAGTCCAATTAGCTTAATTAAAGTAATTAATTTAGCAATCAATTATCCACCATGGTCCAACAATATTATTTAATTTTTTTTCAATGCCTACCGTCTACATCGAGAGTATGTATGTGAAAGTTAAGAGTTTAAAATAAGAGTACACCAAGTATTTTTTTTTTTTTGTGAGAACCGTTCTAAGCATATAATTCTGAGCAAAAAAATTTTTTGTGAGAACCGTTTTAAGCATATAATTCAGAGCAAAAAAATCACAACTGTGCAGAATCGCCTGCCAACCCTGTCATAGCCGAGAACCGCCGCGCCGCCAAATTTTGAGCATATAACTATTTATTGACATACACACAAAAGTTACTTCCATTCTATCTCGTTTCTGGAAATTACGTATCAAACTATTTGTGTTTGAATATTTGTTTTCATGGACTTCTTCAAATCAGTATTCTCCGACGAACCGGAAAACTCCGATTCCGATTCAGAAAACCTCCCTTCTCCTTCAAATTCACAACCTCAAACACAATCTCCCCCCGGAGCTCCGGATACTAATCCGAATATCCCTGCCATAGCTAACGCCTGGACGTTCGGGTCGGGTTTATTGAAAACCCTAGCTTCAAAGTCCGAATCCGTGATTCAGAACTACCGGCGTGATCTCGAGGAGTTCAGCTCTGGTCTCAAGACGGAGACTGCTACGATTCGAGAAGCTGCGAGCCGCGTCGTCAAGGACTTGCCGGCTCGGCTCGAGTCAGGTGCCGCCGTGGCTCAGGAGTCGCTCGAAACTGTCGGCCAAGCTATCGACAACATCGGCTCCACCGTGACGGAGATTATTGTTCACGGTAAGGAGTCTATCCTTGCTGATGATGATTCTGGGAGTGAAGTGTCTGATTTTAACAGTATGTATTATCAGGGTGGTGATATTAATCTACAAAATTTGAAACCCTATAGTAGAATTGATGCTGCAATTCGAGCAATACAATGTGATGCTAAAACATATTGTGAGGAGCCCGAGGATTTAGAGGATTATAGAAAATGGAAATTGGGATTTGTTTTCGAGGAAAAACTTGAAGAGATTGGAGACTTGGTCGAGGGAAATATAGTGATTGCTGAAATTTATAGTGAGATTGTGCCCAGAACGGTTGATAGAGAGACATTTTGGAGTCGTTATTTCTACAAGGTTTATTGTGTTAAGAGGGCAGATGAGGCCAGAGCAAGGCTCGTAAAAAGGGCAATTTCGGGGGAGGAAGAATTGAGTTGGGATGTGGATGATGAGGAGGAGGAGAAGAACAATAAAAATGGAGCAAATTCTGACATGAAAAAAGAGATAGAAAAGTGTGAAAGTAAAGTAAGGAAGTTACAGGTTGAAGTTGAACAACACAGTTTGGAAAGAAGAAAGGATGACAAAGTGAGTAGCCTTAATGCCAAAATAGATAGTGGCGAAGATGAGAAAGGGGTTTCAGAAGGACGATTTGATGATGGCGAGTCAAGTGGAAAAACGTTTGAGGCAAAATCTGAAGATAAAGGGTGCTCAGAAGGAAAGAATGGTAATAGTGATTTTTCTGTTGTTTCTAGCCAACCATCTTCTCATGGGGAAGAGGACCTTGGGTGGGATGAAATTGAAGATATCAGCAGTGGAGATGAGAGCAAGGTTGCTGCACGAGTGAGCCCAAACAAAGCAGATCTGCTGAAACGCCTAAGTATGCCTGATGAAGAGGAAGAGCTTACCTGGGATATTGAGGATGATGATGAGCCTGTAAAATCTTGATTTTTGGCTCCATGGTACTTGGTCTCATCTGCTTCGTTATATCTACATATTCAACTTGCAGAATATTTTATAATGTGTGATGGTAATGCTTTCTTTCCAGTTTGTTTTGAAATAAAGCTGTGTATATATCTATATAAATTTTCTTTTATAATTCAAAACAAAATCATATAGTTTACTGGAAGTAGTGGTGTCTACTCTGTTATTGGCATTATACTTGAAACCATAGTTGCCTTAGTGTCATTCCCAGTATGATATACCATGAACTTTTTAACTTAGAACTGTAGCTGGCTCAGGCTCAGGCTACTTTCCATCTTACTTAGTATTATTCTCATCTTTGTTTCAATCATCATAATATCTCTATGTAGTCTTGTTTAATTATCAGAAAGTTTTCTTCTTTAAGTGATGCTTTTCTGGCGACCTCCTCGCTGTCATCCTTGCTGATAGATTGTTTGGCCAGCTGAAACTTATTTGAATGGATTGCTTTCAACTTTGGAAATGAACCAACGAAGAAATCACATTTTCTGGTATCACGACCCCCCCCCCCCCCCCCCCCCCCCTTTTATTGGGGAAGAAACTGTGTAATAATTCAATATGAATTCCTGAAAGATCATTAGTTAAAAGGCAATTTCTTTTAGTCATGATTTGATTTAATACGTGAGGATATTAAGGGTGTATTCCTAGATCTTTTTTGAATTTTAAAAAATTTTAACTAGTTTTTAAAACGATATTGATATTCCCTTTTAAAGAATTCTTAAAAACAATTATAGAATCTGTCAAATTATGTTTAGTTCAAATGAAACTCTAGTTAACGAGAAAGCGTTTTGGTCTTGATGAGGATTGTATTAAGTGATCAACAATACAATAGGAGTACAAGAGTAAATATATATACAATAGTAGAGACCTATCATAACTCAAATACTATATTCCTAACACTTCCCCTCAAGCGCAAGGGTGGCAAGAACAACATTGGGCTTGCCCCGTAAAAAGGAAAAACCCACGCCAGAGAGTGCCTTCGTGAAAATGTCTGCCAAATTATTCGTGAAAATGTCAGCCAAATTATTCCATATTCTTAGTGGAAATGAAATTCACCCGGATTTCTTTCTTGGACACCTTGTCACGAATAAAGTGGTAGTCTATTTCCACATGCTTCGTTCGCGGATAAAACACCGGGTTAGTACAGAAATAAGTTGCACCTAAGTTATCACACCATAACTTAGGAGAAGAAACCGGAGGCAAGCCAAGTTCCTTTATAAGAGATACCAACCACGTGACCTCCGGAGAAACATCCGTTAAAGCCTTGTACTCAGCCTCAGTTGACAAGCGAGCCAAAATACGCTGCTTCCAGTAGGTCCAAGAGATCAAATTGGCGCCTAAGAACACTGTGAACCCACTCGTAGACTTTTGGTTATTTGGATCACCAACCCAATCCGAATCAGAAAAGGCATGAACACCAAGTGACTGGGACTTACCAATCCGAAGGCCATAATGAACCGTACCTTTAACATACCGCAACACCCGCTTCAACATGCTCCAATGTGTTGTGGTAGGAGAGTGCATATGCTGACAAAGCCTATTCACAGCAAATGAGAGATCAGGACGGGTTACCGTAAGATATTGTGGAGCACCCGCAAGACTACGGTACTGCATCGGATCAGCATAGGGCACATCAGACACCTCGTCAGACTGAACGAGCGAGACAGGAGTGGCTAAGGCTTTGCAATCAACCATGCTGTTACGCTTCAAAATGTCATTCATGTAGCGTCCCTGAGACAAGAGCATACCATCGCCATGAGCCACCGTCTCTATGCCAAGGAAATAGGAGGGGCGGCCCATGTCACGAACCTTGAACTCACGAGCCATCTTCATCACCAGTTCGGTCACGCGCGCAGGATCGAACCCCATCACCAAGATGTTGTCCACATACACTAGTAAGTAAAGCTGCACATCACTAGTAGAATATATAAACAAGGAAACGTCTGTTTTAGAGGGAGAAAACCCCACGGAGATCAAGAAATCGTGCAACCGAATGAACCAGGCCCGCGGAGCCTGTTTGAGGCCATATAGTGTTCTCTGCAAAAAAACACACATGATTAGGATAAGACCTGTCCTCGTTGCCCGGCGGTTGACGCATGTAAATTGTCTCCGAGAGATTGCTATTCAGGAAGGCGTTGTGAATATCCAACAGCCGAATGGTCCAGTCTCAGGAAACAGCCAATGACAAGAGCAACCGCACTGTAGAAGGTTTGACAACTGGGCTGAAGATCTCAAAGAAATTCTGACACACAACCTGGTTGAAACCCTTCACAACCAGCTGAGCGTTATTGCGTTCAACCAAACCATCGGCCTTCCGTTTGGTACGAAAAACCCACTTGCAGCTAACCACACACACACACACACACACACACACACACACACACACACACACACATATATATATATATATATATATATATATATATATATATATATATATATATATATATATATATATATATATGAGTTAATACCATCTAAGGTCCTCCGAGTATAGTGATTTTGCCACGTTTAGTCCTAAACTTTTAAATTGACCATCTGTGGTCCCTCAACTTTCAAATTTAACCATTCGCGGTCCAAGTTAACCACCCATGGTCCTTCAAGTTTCAAAATTTAACCAGCTATGGTCCTCTTGAAAGGACCATGGTTGGTTAAAATTTAATACTTTAAGGACCATGGGTGGTTAACTTGGACCACGAATGGTTAAATTTGAAAGTCGAAGGACCACAGATGGTCAATTTGAAAGTTTAGGACCAAATGTGGCAAAACCACTATACTCGGAGGACCTCATATGGTATTCACTCATATATATATATATATATATATATATATATATATATATATATATATATATATATATAAATATATATATATATATATATATATATATGTATATTGATGCGTAGTATATTTGCAAACAAATAATTCTCGGAGTACGAGTTATCGATCAACAGGGAAGTGGTTGTATCAAGCACTAGTTACTAACTTATTCATTAGAGCTAATCCTAATAATTACTTAGATGATTGATTGGCATAAAATAAAACAGAGGTTCAGGATTTTGAAAACAATTAGAGAGAAGTTGAGATTCACGGGATTCAAGTATTTAATCACCTAGTGCCAATTATCGTTTGCAATATCTAGTTTGGAATTAAGATTTGTGTGGGAATGCAAAGTGGAATCGAATTACTCCCGTAATCTCTATTCCTAGTGAATTTCCACTCCCATGACTTAAACACCCAATAAGATCAAAGATCAGCATTCAATTATTCCTAATTACTACCATCTCCCGATGAGCAATAATCTAGAATAAACTTCCCCTAATAAGTTCCCCTTTCCCAAGGACCAACCATTAGGTGCAATCGTGTGTGCCCTAATTTATGCCCCAACTCCCATTGGTGACACAAACATGGCTATGAAGCTAGTAACTATGGCCATTAATTACAAGTATCAAACAATATTATCACGATTGCAACACAAGTATTAAACCCAAATAATAATATTTTAAAGAAACTGAGAGCTCAGGCACATAGGTTCATAAACACTTTTACCCAAGAATCTCTAAAGAATTTAGCCAAGCATGACTAAATTATACATAGCAAATATAAATAAAGAATTACAAATCATCAAAAGAGTACAAGAATTAACCAGACGATTTTCCCAAATCTCCCTAGTCTTCTTCTTGCTTTCCAAGACAACTTGTGGCTCTTGATTTCTCTCCTTCTTGTCTCCAAGAATCTCTGAATTCTCTCGGTCCCCGTCCTCCCATTAGGGTTGAGGAAGGAGGGATTTTATAGTGGGTACAAAGTTGAGATGAAATAGGAATCTTGTACCAAATTAGACTCAAATTCTAATTCCTATATTTAAATAAAGAAATTGTCGTCTTTAATGATATTTAGAATTTGGAAGATTCCTTGAATTGCTAACTTTTAATATGGAGATATGAGCCTTGAAATCCGCGCAATTGAAATTAGGAAAAGAGATCTCGCGCTTGTATTGAATTTTGCCCAGCTGCGCCACTTTAAGCGTCTATTTTTTTATCCGCGCCACTTTAGGCGTCTGTTTTTATCCCAGAAATAGACGCATATTCGACGCGGCAAGAATTTTCTCGACGCGTCGAGACTTCCTGTGCGCGAATTAATTAGCTACTGGAAAATTTCGACGTGTCAAGCCCTTGGCTCGACGCGTGAAGGGCTCGACGCGTCGAGTCCACTGGGCCCCGAACTCATCCAAAATTGCTCTAAACTCATCCTTGAACTCCCCTTGGTCATATCTTTGACCTAAAATGGTTCAAAAACACTAACAAACACCGTAAAATATTCAAAACAAGTGCGAATCATAATTAAATGATAATAGCAAGGAAAACATGTATTAAATAAGCAAAATTAAAGAGCTTAATTACTGTGATGATTCAAAATAACCATAAAAACAAGCACAAATGTGATAACATCACCCCCTCACACTTAAGCTTTTGCTTATCCTCAAGCAAAACTAAGGAATAAAATCACAAGTCAAAACGTACAAATTACTCATGCTCTCTCTTGCACAACCTTTCAAACCACCAACCCACTTGCTACAAAACAACAAGCTTCAAGAATCAAATTAGTTTGGCACATAAGAGACCCATTTCCAAGCCAATAACCAAGCACCAAGAATTTAAAGCATGTGAGGATCAAATGTGCACAAATACTCAGTTGAGATTATGCAAGATACGGTTCATGAATGAGTTCCCTTAGGCTTGCCTTTCATACTCCCCTAGATCAAATCTAAGAATGCATGCTAAGATCAAATATGACTTTATTTAGCTTGTAATGGGGCTACGGGTGATGGCTAACAAAGAAGTGGTATGGAAAAATTAATCAAAAAGAGAGAATGTCACAATTTATCTAAACTTTTCAAAATTTGGAAGAGATGAGATAATCATAATTCCAAGGAGCAAATTTCTTTTAAGAACTTAGCATCTCTTTGGTAAAGTGGGGATCCAAACTCAAAAACTTTCAATCTTTTTTTTTTTTTTTTCTCATTCTTTTCTTTGTCTTTGGACTTCTTTTGGATATAGCAAGATAATTTTAATCCAAACTTTCATGACCCCCACACTTGAACATTTGTAACACTAGCTACTTTTTTTTTTTTTTTTTTTAGCACAACTCCATAAAACTCTTCTTACGGAAAAGATAAAGATAAAAGTTTCATTCTCTCAAGGGTGGAAGGGAAATATTTGGCCACGGGTTAAGGGTTATAATAATGGGGTAAATCAAAGAAAAACAATCACAAAGAGGGGATAAGTGCTTAGCACTTATTTAAACAAACAAAAGGCACAATGGGGATACGAAGGATAAAAATATATATAGGGACAGGTTTAAAGGCTATGGCTAAACAAAAATGGCCTAAATCACTTCAAAACATGCAAAACTTAGACATCACTTAGGGAGTAATGAGGCAAGTTCTAGCAAAACACCCATGACCGGAATCTCACATAAGCCTTCACTATCAATGCAAAACACAAGATCAAGAATTAATCCAATTATTAAGTGGTTAACAAAGCTATTGGCAAGGGAATAGATCAAATATGTGTTACACCTCAAATCATCCATCACAAATTGAGATGCAGCAAGCACCACTAAAACAAACCACAAACCAACAAGAGAGAGTAATTGTAACTGCATGCTAAGACAAGTAACTTATTCACCAAAAATAGCATATGAGTCATCCAAGCAAAAGCAAAAATTTTAAAAATTTTAGAAATATCTCCAAATTAATGATTCCTCCCCCTCACACTTAAAACTTTGCATCATCCCTGATGCAAAATAAAAGGAAAGGAGAACAAGAGAAAAGAGAAAACTAAAAAGCAATAAAATAATCACGAACTAGAAAATAATAAAACTAAATAAGACGAAACTAGAAAGCAATAAATAAATAGGGAAAGTAATAAAAGATAACATGGGGTGCCTCCCATGAAGCGCTAAATTTAACGTCGTTAGCTCGACGTTACCTCTCTAGCCATCAGGTGATTGGAGAAGAAAAATCCCCTTCTTTCCATCAACTTTCTCTTCCAAGTATTTCTTCAAGTGGTGTCCATTTATAAACTCTCTTAAGCTCGAACCCTTCACGTCATCATGTAAGGAACCACATTTGCCTGAATCAAGAATTATGTCTCCATTCTCTTTTCTTTCTTTTTCAACACTCTTTTGTTCAACAAGTAATGAGAGTCTCGGATCATTCACATGAACCAGCAAGTATTGGGAATCATTAGATATATAGATAGGCAAATGTTTGCCATTATCCTTAAGAACTCCAATGCCTCCCAAATTCAAAATTTCTCTGAAGTTCTCTCCAAGGGAAGTGTTCTCCATTGGTGAGACATCCTCATTCAAATCATGTGCTCCATTAAGAACTTCCTCATCTAATGGGCAACTCTCTATATGTTCCTTGCCATCATTACCTTGCAACTCTACATTTTCCTCCCCGCTTGGTGTCTTCATCTCAATGCATTTATCAAATAATTCTTCATCTTCCTCTCTAAGATCCTCATCATCCTTTTTATTTCTCTCAACTTCATGACCTTCATTTGGCAAGAGCAACTCTTCTAGAACCTCTCCATTAAATGAATCTTGAAGTGGCTCTTGAATTGTCAAATCTTGCTGTCGAGCTATCATGTGATAGAGTCGAGCATTCATGCGATCAAGTTGAGCCTTCATGTGATCTTATAACTCCAGATATTTCGAGCACAATTGCATTACCTTGGTCTCTTTGGACTTCATCCCAATTATTTGGTCAAGTGATTGACAATCTTGTTGAAACTCTTGGTACGGCAACTCTTGAGCTCGCCCTTGATACTTGTAATTGGGATCCATGATAAAGCAATTTTCCG